AAACTCACAGAGATCCGCCTGCCTCTGCCTCCCGAGTGCTGGGATTAAAGGCGTGCGCCACCACCGCCCGGCCTAACTATTTCTTTAAAAAAAAAAAAAAAAACCATAATACTTATAAATCTATACTTAATATAGTTTAATGAAATTTTCTCCTCTGGGTTGACAATGCTTCTAACACCAAAAAACACCTAATTAAAAAAAGTCAACACCAGAATGAAAGGCCCTTGAGTTGTTGGTCAGTGTTATCCAAGAGACTTCCAAAACATAGGCTGTTGCTATATTGCCTTTGGTTGCCCCAGAAATCAAAGTTAAGTTCCTCCACCTTTTGCTGAAGACACCATGCATGCACTTCAGACACAGGGCCCTGAGGTCTCTGAGCCTGGAACTGACCTGAATGCCTCTTTCCTGAAGACCAGCTTTCAAGGTACCATGCAAACTACCAGAGGGAGGAAACCAGCAGTCCTATCCAGCTGTGATGCCTATGAACCACACCAGTGACCAGCATGGCACAATAGATATCCCTAAGGTGCAGTAGTGGTACAAACACCTTGGTGGTAACCAACAGCTCTTCCACTGGACTTAAGACCCACTCAACTAGGTTAACAAGACCCGGTACTGGAAACCTAGCCAAGTACCCAGGGCTAGTAGAGTCATGGGTCTTGGAGGAGAAGCTACAACACTACTGCACTAAACCAGCACAATCCCTATTTCCACTCTAAATACCTGAAATAGCTGTCTACAGACCCACAGCAAGTCTAATGCTAACCCTGCCTCAAGGAAACTTATCTTTGCAACAGAGGCAACCACAACCAGTCAACATGCTGAGATGTGAAAGCAATGGCTGCATCTACAGAGTCCTCCCACTTCTAGGGCCCGGGAGACACTGAACAAGAAGGAGGTGGAGAGACTGTAAGAGGCAAAGGATCAGAGAGTTTGTTGTGAGATCGTGCTTCCTAGGAATGTGAGGAACTACACTCAAAGTCTCAACAACCGCCTAAACATGAGCTGACCAAGGACAACAGCAATAGACACACTAACGTGGACAGGGAAAGTCCAGGAGGCCTCAGTCCTACACAAACAACTCCAGGCACGTAAGGAAGGCTGAGAGTGGGAGAAATTGTCTTCCCCAGGGAAGAACAGTTTCTCCAAAAATCAAATGGTCAACCCTGAAAACACACACAGGTAACATTACACAGACTCAGCGGGTGATAAATATTTAAGAATAGCTATATAGTCTTAAGTAACCCAGTGGTTCTGCCTGAACTCATGACACCATGGTGGCATACTGGCAAAAGGCTGGACTCCGCTACATCCGGTTGTCCTAGATCTGTGCAAAAGCAGCAGCATAAAACAGTGAAAGTGAAGGAGTACTAGTCAACTCTGACTGAAGCATGAACTGCTAAGTCCTCAAGATGAAGACATGTTGTAGCAGACTGATATCAAACTAACAAACTCACCTCCTGGGGACAAAACTACCTATATCTTGTTGATATACTGACTATGCCAATAAATTGACATGGTTCACTTTCCCCCCCAAAAAATGGGGAAGGGGGGAAGAATATATATCTATATACATATATGAATGCACTAATAATGACAAAGATGTCATTAATTTGAAAGGCAACAAAATGAGCAGAGCTTAGTAAGCACCTAAGCTGGGGATACCGAACATTGACCACCAAAAGAAATGAAGCTCAACCAAGAGACAGACCACTGTGACTTATATCGTATACTTCCTACAGTAACAGGAAGTTCTAGTCCTTCACTTTCTTATACATTTAATAACATGTTCTGCTCCCTGGTAAGTAGACATAATAAATGATAGAAAAGACAGGCTAATAAATAAACAATGTAGCATAAGCCTCTGTCATAGGCTACTAAAAATATTTATTTTACACATTTTACTGCAATCAGACATACCAACATATTTACTGACATAGGAGGAGATTTGGGGCAATTTTCTTCACAATTTATGAAAAGAGCATTCATTAGTATGGCTTAAAGGGATTCTTGTGATTTTTACCTGTGGCAAAATAGAGAGAACCTGATGATGTAAATTGGCCAACTTCACTCACCCTCAGTGTCTAAGTCCACAGCCAGATTCTGGAAGATGTCCATGTGTGCCGAGTGGGTGATGGTGCTCATTGATGGCGTGCTGCCCTTGTTGTGGATGTGTGCGAT